AGTTTTTCCTTTGTGATGAGTACTAGACAGAAGAGTGCCACTCAGAGACAGGAGTTTACATGCTGATCCATTAACACAGACAAGAAACAAGAACCTAATACCCAAGAAAAATTCCTGCAAGGAAAAATGATTAAGGAACACAGTGCCTCATTTTGGGAGAGACGGCTGCCAAGCATTTGGCCCTCTCTGCCTTGACAAATAGAAACAAAACCCAGTGATTAGTGAGACCATCTGGCATGGGCGCTCTTGGACACCCACGCAGAGCTCTTGATGGGACCCTCTTCCTTTGAGTGGGGCCCCCACCAACCCTGTGTTCTGGAGACCCTTCAACTGGCTACCCAGGCCACCCTCCCTCTGGCCCCCACTTTACCATTTGAGTTATAGGTCTTGGTAATATCCTTCCTAACTCCCTGTTTGCCAATTAGGCCCTATAGCAAAATGCATGACCACAGACCAGAGGACCCTGCTGCGCTTCAAGACCCATAAGGTATTATTGTCCTGTTACTGGGTTTTTATAAATATTGAACACATAACCCATGGTTGTGAAATAATATTAAAATTCCAAATCCCAACTATGTCGTGGGTCTAAAAAAAAGTCTCAAAATATTGAGAGGCAGCAACTCAGGTATCTTCTATAGTAAAACAAAAATGATACCCACAAGAGCGGGCATGACTCAGGCTAGCTGGGATATTCCGAATTCATGGAAAGATATCAGGAGTGTTCCGTCACCTTCACTGCACATCAGCCAGAGAGATGCTGTCTCCACTGGCTCAGATATAGAGACCTCCCTTACCACACATGGGCCTGCTTCACTGACAGCTCCTCCCAGGTAACCTTTGCTGGGCTGGACCAGGGTATGCCTGTCATCCAGCCTAAGAGAGGCTTGTCCCTTACAGAGCATGGTAAGGGACATTCAGCTCCATGGCAGAGCTTCATGGGCTTCTGATGGCTATACAGGTGGCCCAACAAAGGAGCCCTGCTGGGTTTCATGGACTCATGAGCTGTGGCTCAGCCCTAGACTGACATATCAAACAAGCCACCCTGTGGGGATGAGACGTTTACATAAAAATTAGCTCTACTCTTCGTAAACATTTTGTTGCCAATGTAAATAGTCTCTAAAAAGGCTGCTGAGCCAACGAGAGAAAACATAACCAATGAGCAGACTGTGCTTGTCAAGGAAATGAGGAGACTGAAATGTCTGCCCCAGAGCGAGCAGATGTGTGACTGGTCACCTCCTGGGTCCACAAGAAGGCGGCCCAAGCAGGTCCAGACACTGTGCCCGGCTGGGCCTCCAGCCACAATGGCCACTGTCCTCAGAAGCTGCCAGATCAGCATGGAAAAGCCGTACTCCTCGCCAGACTCTGGCTGAGGCTACAAACGTGGCCCAGGCATTCTTGGCAGGTGGGTCCCACTGGGCCCCTCTTCCCACCCCTGGGGCTCCCCTGGATGCAGACTGTGGTTGACGCTTTCTCCAAGTTCAGCCTCACCATCCCCAAATGTTTCACGGGCCTGGGCCACACTATCCAGGCCCTGTAAGATCACATTTGTTTCCTGATCAGGTATCCTCAACACACTGCAGCTGATGATAGCCAATCATGGGGCATGGAGTGGACTCTTCGCCCCACATCACTCCCAAGTTGCAGGGTTGAAGAAATATTTTAATAAACAATTTACAAACAGACTTGAGTGGCCATTAAGAGGAGACTAACCCCAACCTGGAGTATACATCTCAGGCAAGCAATGCCCCAGGAGGCCCTTCTCAGTTGTGCCATGTAGTTGGATGGGCCTGGCTGCCCGTCCTTTATCTGTGTGCCCCCCTACAGTCACTGGCCCTGTGGTTTCCGTGGAACACCCAGCAGGAGCTTTCGATCCCCGTTGACCCATTTCTAAAGACTTATATAGATTTTTCAAAAAACAACAAAGAGTGAGAGGTTATGGAAACTCATTAAAATTTTTTAAAGAAGTAAAACCTCTGTGCTGGCCAATAAACACGGTGTGCTTTCCCACCTAAGTTATGTAGAAATATCTTCCTGTGAAAACACTTTGTCCCTCCGACAATTCTTCCAAACAAAAAAAATCTAAATTAAAAAATAATTTTAAAGAAAACAAAATTTTGATTTAAGAAGACACGCTAATGACAGCAACAACTGACACCAAAGGAAACAAAAAGCCCCAACTCCTAGAAAGGTACAGGGGAGAGGAAAATATGTTCATAATCTTTGTTTTGTCAAACTACATGCTCTGAAAAGCTTTCTCCTCATTCCTAAGCCACCAAAACAAAAAAACCAAAGAACCTTGCTACACTGCCTCTCCCCGCAGCGGTGAGTGCTGTGGGTTCAGAGAGGTTGCTGAACCTATGCCCATTCCTGCAACCTGACCCTGAGACACAGTCTCAGCTGCCACACAGAACACCTCCAAATGTCATCTACACTCCCAACGCTGATAAACTGATGTCACAAACAAACAAAACTGTGAAACCAACTGCCTCAGGAAGTTCCTCTAAAACCAGAGCCTAAATTATTCAGAAGAAACTAAAAAGCCCAGGAAGAGAGGCCTCGTCATAAAAGGCTCCATTCAAAACCCTGTTAACTTGACCATTTCATTAATAAATGTCCTACTTGGGGTGCCCTGACATTACAGACTCTTTATTTCCAAGCAGAGGGACCACGTATGCCCTCTGGGATTATACTTCTCCCATATGAATCTGATTTTCATGACATCGCTTCAGCCCTGGGAGACTTGCCTGACAGCTGCATCTTACTGGTCAGAGCTCATTTGCCTCAGGCCAAGCAAAAAAGGTTCATATAAAAACTTTTTTTAAAAGCTCCTAACTCTCTAAAGTATAGCCAGATAATCCAGAAGACATCTTTTCTGGTTTCGTAGACACTGCATTGAGATGCAGGGCTCACACTGAGACCCCGTGCTCCGGGTGGGCCTCATCACCCTATATAGAGTGACTGTGTTCACAGTGTGGGTCTTTGGTCCCCTGTTGGCTCTAACTAATTACCCAGCCCTTGACAGAGCCCCTCAAAGTCTAACCTATTCCAGTCCATGATAAAATAGCTCATGTTTCTCACTTCAGTCCTAAAAAAGTCCAGGGGCTGAGTGGAAGAGGCAAGGCCAGAACTCTGTGTCATTTCTCTGGCCCCAGGTGGGCAATCACAAGGCACTGCACAGCAGACAAGGGGGCCCTTCCGTGCCCACATCAGACTGGGAAGACCAGCCAGGGCATGGCAGGCTCTGCAGGGAGCTGCAGTCCAGGACTTAGGCCTCCTGCCAGCCATGCTGTCATTCACATCTATATTCCCAGCCGAAGTCGCCATAGCTGGAGGTCAAGTGCAGAGACATCCTCAGGCATTTTGAACAAGACCTTCTTCCTAGGGCAGGGGTGACCTGGAAGATACTTGTTCTCCTCTGACCCAGAACTCGGTGCTCTTCTACTCCTAGGCTTCCCCTACCCTACTCTCAGCCCCCAGGGGTCACAAAACTGCAGGAGCCTTTTGTGTGGGACTCCCTCCTCAGTGAGATGACCCCCTAGACCCTCACGTCTGGGCTGGTCCACCTGACCCTCTATCCACAAGCTATTCTATGGAGGATAAAGAGAACAAGAGGACAATGACTTCCTTGGTTTAGCCTCTTGCATAGAAAATTCCAAAGAGTCTTAAAAAAACTCAGTTGAAAGATGCAAAGTCAACATACAAAAACCAGTCATCTCTGTATATACTAGCAGTGGAAAATTGGAAACCAAAATTTAAAGCACCATATCATTTAGTTACTAAAAATGCCAAAAAGGAAATAGCTAAAGTATATATTCTAACAAAGCCTTCTCAGATTCTGTTCAGTGCAAACTACAAAATATAAATGAAACAAATCAAAGAATACCTAAATAAATGGACAAACATATTGTGTTTATCTCCATAGTAAAGATGCAAGTTCTGCCCAAATTAATCTATAAGTCTAATGTAATTCCTATCCAAATCCCAACAAAATTATTTGTAGACATAGAAAAGCTGATTAGAAAATTTATGTGAAGAAACAAATGAGAGAAATCAAATATTTTCAGAAAAGAATAATGCAGGAAGGATCACACTCTGCGATTTTTTTATTGTGGTAAAATATATATATAACATAAAATTTGCCATTTCAACTATTTTTAAGTGTATAACTCAGTGGCATCAATTATATTCACAAAGTTGTACATTTATCAACACAATCTACAGTTATTTCAAAACATTTCCATCACTCTAACAGAAAGTTTATACCTATTAAGTGATAAATCTCCTTTCCTGCCTATCACAGCCCCTGGTAATCTATAATCTACTTTTTTTATCTATAAATTTGCCTATTCTAGGTACCTTATATAAGTGAAATCGTATAATATTTCTTTTACATTTGGCTTTTAAAACTTAGAATAACATTTTAAAAGTTCATCTGTGTTGTAGCATGTGTTAGAATTTCGTTGCTTTTTAAGGCTGAGTAATAATCCATTGTATGAATAGATCGTATTTTGTGTATCTATACATCTGTTAATGGACACTGGGTTCTTTTCACCTTTTGACTATTGTGAATAATGCTGCTATAAATGTGATGTACAAGTATCCATTTGAGTCTCTGTTTTCAGATCTTTGGGGTATATAACTAGGCAAGGAATTGGTAGGTCACATGGTAATTCTGTGTTGAACTTTTTGAAAAGCTGCAAAATTGTTTTCCACAGTGCCTGCACCACTTTACGTTTCAATTAGAAATGTATAAGGATTTCAATTTTATTTAGTTTGTATTTTTCTAAGGGCTAATGAAATTGGTAGTCTTTCATTTGCTTACGGGTCATTTATATGTCTTCTTTGGAGAAATTCTGTTCAGGTTCTTTGCCCAATTTTTAATTGAATGGTTTGATTTTTTGCTGTTAAGTAGTAAAAGATTTTACATATTTTTGATATTAGGTCTTTATCAGATATGTGGTTTGCAAATATTTTTTCCATTCTATGATTTATCTTTTCACTCTCTTCATAATGTCCCTTGAGTCACACATATTTTTAATTTTAATGAAGTTTCATTTATCTTTTTTTTTCTTTTGTTGTCCATACTGTTGACGTAATATTTAAGAAACCATTGCCAAATGCAAGGTCATGAAGGTTTGACCTTATGTTTTCTTCAAAGAGTTTTATAATTTTATCTTTAGGTATTTTTATTTCATTTTGAGTTAGTTTTTGAATATAATTTAAGGTAATGGTAAAACTTTATTCTTTTGCATGTGGATATCCATTTATCTAGAATTATTTCTTGAAGACACTGTTCTTTCTCCATTGAATGGTTTTGGTATACTTGTCAAACGTCAATTGCACTTTTGTTCTTTTTGTTTTAAAGAGTGTTTCATTCTGTCAGCTTAGGCTGGAGTGCAGTGGCGCAATCACAGCTCGCTGAAGCCTCGGCTTCCTGGGTTCAAACAATCCTCCCTCCTGAGCCCCTCAAGTATCTGGGACTACAGGCATGTGCCACCAAGCCTGGCTAATTTTTGTTTGTTTGTTTGTTTGTTTAATTGTAGATACAAAGTTTCACCATATTGCCCAGGCTGGTCTTGAGCTCCTGGGCTCAAGAAATCTGCCCTCCTTGGCCTCCCAAAGTGCTGGGATTACAGGTGTGAGCCACCACACTCAGCCTGAACATCTTTCAATGGTCATTATAGTTAAGTTTTGTCAATTTTATTGAGGTTTTCAAATACTAACTTGTAGTATTTTTTTTATGTATTGTTTTCCTACTGTTTGTATCATTTCCGCTATAATCTGTATTATTTCCTTTCTTTTACTTATTTTTATTAAAGTTTGTATTTATTTTTCTACTTATCTTAAGGTAGCAATCTAGATTACTGGTTTGAGATCTTCCTTCTTTTTTTTTTTTTTTTAATATAAGTGCTTTGGGCTATATATTTCTCTCTAAGCACTGCTTTAGCTGTACTTCAAAATAAGAATTAACTGCTTTTGTTTGCATCCCAAACTTTGGCATTTTGTGTTTTATTTTTCATTCATAGTAAAGTATTTTCTAAGTTTCTTTTTAAAACTTCCTTTTTAATAATGGGTTATTTAGTAGTGGGTTTTTTATTTTCACATATTTGTAATTTTAACAAATTTCCTTCTGTTTATTGATTTCTAGCTTTATTCCATGTGATCAAAGAAGACACTTTACATAATTGCAGGCTTTTAAAATCTAAGACTTGTTTTATGGCCTAGCGCATGGTCTATTCTGGAAAATGCTCCATACACACTGAGGAGAATATCTATTTTGCTGTTCTTAGGTAAACAGATCTAAAAATGTCTGTTCAATGTTGTTGGTGCACAGTGTTGTTCATGTCTTCTATGTTCTTATATTTCTGTCAAATTATTCTATTATTAAAATTATTCTATTTATTATTAAAAAATTGATATTGAAGTTACTAACTAGTATTGTTGAATTATCTATTTCTCCCTTCAACTCTATCATTTTTCTTTGTGTATTATGAGGCTCTATTTTTAGGTTCATATAGACTTATATTTGCTATAATTTCTTGATGGGCAAGTGATTTTATTATTATAAACTGCCTCTCTTTATTTCTATTGACATCTTTTGTATAAGCTCTATTTTTCTGAAATGTATTGCTATCCAGCATTCTTATAAAGTTTACATAATGTGTTTTTCCACCCTTTTACTTTCAACTTGTATATCTTTGAATCTAATCTCTTTCTCTTATACACAACATATAGTTGGATCATGATTGTTTTATTCTATTTTATCTAATTTTCTCATCTCTGACCATTTAGACTTAATGTACCTTTTAAAGTATGTTTTGTGGCTGCCATTGTGTCATTTGGTTTCTCTGTGTAATATGTAATATTGTTCATTTAGTACTCTGTTACTACATTCTTTTGTGTTAAATCAATATTTTCTAGTGTATTGCCTTAATTCTTCTGGTTTTTCTTTTACTACATTTTTCAACTTAGATTCTTAGTGGTGGCCTTGGTGATCACAATTAACATCTTAATTTATAACATTTTTGTTTTCATTAATGCCGACATAATATTATTGGTATATAGCAGCTTTGCTCTTATGAAGCATTATTCTTTCCTTCCTCCTGTGGTGCCATTATCATCATACAAATGACTTCTTTATACATGATATGTCCATCAACATAGTTTTGTAATTCTTGCTTTATTCAGTTGTATTTTAAATCAGGTATTTACCTATATAGTTACCTTTACCAGTATTATTTATTTCTTTATGTGGCTTTGAGTTACTGGCTATTGTCTTTTGAACTAGAAGGACTCCCTTTAGTATTCTTGTAAGGTAGGTGGTCTAATGATGAATTCTCCAGTGTTTGTTTATCTGAGAATGTCTTAATCTCTCATGTGTTTTTGAAAGGTTTTGTGATGAATATAGAATCTTTGTTTACAATGTTTTTCTTTTAGTGCTTTGACTATGTCATCTACTGCTTTCTAGACTCCATAATTTTGAATGCATAATCAGCTGTTAATCTCATTAAGGAGCCTCGGGGTGCTATTTTGTTCTCCTCAGTTTACCTGTTGCCACAGGGCCTCCCTCTTGTTATCACTGGTCATGCTTAAGAGGCCACATGGGGTTTCCCCTAGCTAGGCCACCCAGTGTCTTTCTGTGAGGGAGGGGAATCTTAGGCCTATGGGGATAAAGAGTCTTCTCTAATGTGGGGCTAGTGTCGTAGGATCCTGTCTGTGGAGCATGGAGAATGCATCTGTGGTCTTGTGCTTGTTCTGGCAGAATACGCCCTAGTGGTGGCTGTTGGTTACTCTGATGTCTCTGGGTGGTGGAGTGGCTTCTCAGGCCTGTGAATACAAAGCAACTTCCTTGGCTAGGAACTTGTGGTATGGTTTTTCTTTCTAGTGCCATGTGGGCACCCTGTATGTCTCAGTGGTAGAGGAAAGTCCCAGGTTCAGTGGTAAAAAACACTACCCTTGGCTGCTTACTGTTAGCAGTGTTACTGGACTCACTTACTGTCATATTCAGGACTCTCATTCAGTTTTAAGAGAAGTAAGCAAATAGGGGCTACCTTCATATTGGTAAGAAACACCAGAGTTGGCCAGCCTGTGTTCTTGTGCTGGGTGAGGAGATGAGAGACCCCAGTTGTCATGTTTCTGCTTCAGTCCTGACATTCAAAGCAGTTCACCTTCCTCTTTCTACCCCTCAGATATCACATGTAGTCACCCATTGCATTATTTCCAAGGTATACAGTTGTAACTAGCAGAGAGAAGAGGGTCAAGGAGTCTTCAGAATCTTATCTGGCCTGGAAGTGCCCAACTGATTATGGATACCAGTGCAAAAGCAATTCAATCAAGAAAGGGATGCTTATTCAACAAATGATGTTGGAGCAATAGGACCCATAGGTATAAAAAGGAAACCTCCAAGTAAACTTTGCATCCTATGTAAGAATTAACTCACTATGGATCACAGACTCAAATTAAAATATAAAACCTCGGTTTTGCAATATAAAATAAAATTGGGGTAATATAAAAATAAATGAAGAGCACTTAAACTTGACCCCATATATTTGATTCATATAAAAATAAGACAGATTGATCTTATCTACATTAATAACTTTTTATCAGTGATAGCCCAAGTTAAAAGGATGAAAAGAACAAATTACAGATGGAGAGAAAATACTTGTAAGCCACATATCTGACTAAGAACTAGTATATAAAATACATATAGATAATATATATAGATTTCTCAAAACTCAACAGTTAAAAAAATCCTGTTAGAAAATGAACCAAAATCAAAGATTACGTGCAGATGGCAAATAAGCACAGGAAGAGATGTTCAACATCGCTGTTATTAGGCAAATGCAAACTAAAATCACATTAAGATATCAGCACTCGTCCGGGCACAGTGGCTCATGCCTGTCATTCCAGCACTTTGGGAGGCCGAGGTGGGTGGATCACCTGAGGTCTGGAGTTTGAGACCAGCCTGATCAAAATAAAGAAACCCCCCACCTCTACTAAAAATACAAAAAATTAGCTGGGAGTGGTGGTTTATGCCTGTAATCCCAGCTACTCGGGACACTGAGACAGGAGAATCGCTTGAACCCGGGAGGCGGAGGTTGTGATGAGCCGAGATGGCGCCATTGCACTCCAACCTGGGCAACAAGAGCAAAACTCCGTCTCAAAAAAAAAAAAAAAGATATCAGCACTCACCTATCAAAATGGCTAATTTTTTTTTAAGTGACATCAAATGCTGACAAGGATGTAGAGAAAATGGATCACTTACACATTGCTGGTGGAAATGTAACATGTTATAGCACTCTGCAAATGGTTTGGCAGTTTCTGGTAAAACTAAACCTTCAAAATTATCTCATGACCTAGGAACTATGCTCTTTGGCATTTATTCCTGCGTAATGAAACTTTATGTCTACATGAAGCCTGTGCATGACTTCTTAAAGAAGCTTTATGCAAAATAGCCAAATCCAGAATCAACCTGAATGTCATCAGTGGGTAAATGCTCAAACTGCTTCATGTATACCTTGGGATAATAGTCAACAACAAAAAGGAACAAACTATGGATACACAACTTGAGATAATCTTCAGGGAATTATGCTTTCTAAAGAAAACCAATCCCAAGAGGTTACATACTGTATGATTTCATGTATTTAGCATTTTTGAAATGATAAAATGTTATAAATGGAGAAGAGATCAATGGCTTCTAGGGTTTAGGGATGGGTGGGGGTGGGGGTGGACATAAAGGAGATAAGCATTATTGTCCAAAGGCAACACAAGGATTTCTTTATCACGATTGTAGTGGTGTACACACAGACCTACACATGTAATGAAATTGCATAGAAGTGAACACGTACACATATGCACACAGGCAGTACAAATAATACTAAGAAAATCGGATCAGTGGATTCTATCAATATACTGTTTGCGAGATTTTACCCTGAATTTTTGAAATGTTAACACTGTGAACAACTAGGATAAAAATATATGGGACCTCTGTTATTTCGTCATTAATCACTGTAAATGAGCTTCGCATATTTCTGGAATCTGACCTTGGAGGTTCTGGTTGCCTAATATAGATGTTCTATGTATTTTCACCTAGCTCTTCTAGTTGTTCTCAGTGAAAGTATTAGTTTACTATAAGTTATTCTGTTATAGTCCTGTTTGATTGATTTTTGCAAGATGATTAAAATGGAAAATTTTAAAAATGACACTGTTTAACGGCAATCTATATTTTTGCAAAATGGCCAATTTTCTAAGAAGTAAAGCTACCTGATTTCATTATCTTCATTTGCCCATAAAATTTGAGGGTTTATAGACAGATGAAATAAGGCAGAGGAATTATAAACATTATTTTATCTTTGCCTGATTATGTTCAAACTTCTAGCACACATAGGACACATCACACCATTTAAATGAGATCGTTCTCAAAGTCCCTTGGAATCTTGTTCCAATTTACAATGGGATAAGATCAAACTGGCCTTCACATAATTGATTTTAGTTTTTTTCTGTGAAAATAATAATCAAAGTAACTACTCTTTTAAACACACACAAGTAGGCATGCACACACAATTTACCCACGGACAAATATTTTTATGTGAATAACTTATTATTGTATTTTTTTTCAAGTGACACATTCAGCAACCATATTTAAGCAAATGCTGAAGACTTAATTTAACTGTGCCATCTGTCCATACAACTTTGAATAAATTTCATTTGTTCAAAATATCTTTAAATATAGATTATTTTAAACACAGATTATTTGTCAGGATTCGCCCATTCCTCTGGTCTTTCTGCTCACATAAATTAAAACTTCTTGCACATTCTCTTGTAATATTTTTGAGAACAAGAAGTGTAATTTATGTCCTGTTGTTCAATGGCCTCCTTCCTCCAAATTCTAACTAAATGGAGGTCAGAGTGAACATGTCTTATTTGTACTCATGGGCAACCTATCCTACAAATTTCATTTCACAAAACCCTGCATAGAAGCATCCAGCAAAGGCAGAGAGTCTGATTGTCATGATAAGTCTAGGAAGATTGGCCCAGAAAATTTGGGTTAGGCTACTATGAAAACGCACCATGGTGTTCTCCTATGTACAAGAGAAAGTATAAAAACAAAGCTTCCCATTTTCTTCCTTGCAGCATAAACCTGGGTGTTTAAACAAAACAGTGGAAGAGATTTCCAAATGTGTTCTACTTGAGTTAATTCTTTAATATTGGGCCAAGAAATATTCTATCTTGCTTCCAAAGATTTAAATTAGGAAAAAAAAAAGTCTTTTCAGGTATTTAACAAACATTTTACTAGGAATAATATGTAATTCAAATGATGGTGACTTGAAATAGCTCGAAGAAGCCAGACAACAATAGCAACAAAAATGAAGGGTGAATGAATGTGCTGCATAAATCACTACCAAGTAGCATTTCTGGAAACAAATAAAATGTTTTCAAAGAGCATGCACTTCCTAAAATAAGTGGAAATGTTTCATGGAAACATAGCAGCGGATCTAGCAATACCATATAATCTGTTTAAGATTAGCACAGGACTTTTCAACCACTAATGTTTAAAGGTCTATAAAATAGCCAATGAACTGTTTGCATTGGGAAAACATAGGGCATTGATCCAGGGGTTGGAGTTTCTGGTCAGACCTCCTCGTCCAAGTGCTGTCACTAACATGGTTTCCGTGCGGAAGAGCTGCTTCTCTGCCTGACACGTAGATTCCCCATCTGTGAGATGAGATATGGAGCCACCAACCTCATAGGGTGTTTATAAAAAGTCACTGAGACACTGTAAGCTAAGTGCTTGTCACAGAGCCTGGCAAAGTGGGGTAAGATGGCCCTACAAAATTTGGTGCTGTGGCAAATGTCAAGTTATTTTGGTATCAGTAAGTGTCGTCAGGCAGAAGTTCTATCTCTACAGCCTTGGCTACCAAGAAGTAAGTCACAGTGGAAGCAGGTTTTGGTTCACATTCTGCCAAACACACACATGTAGTAGCAAGCACGTGTAGGAGCCATGCCTACTGCCGTCAGAATCTTAGAGGCACTTAGCATAAAAGGCTCTTCTCAGAGGAAATGTCCTAGATGCTAATGTCAAGCCCAGCAGGGAGGACTTTCACCTGTATCTGGTGGCAAGGTGCAAACTGAAGGGGAAGCAGCAGGGTCAGCCCGGGACCCTTGTTTCTTAGGTCCTATATATGTGAAGGTGGCAAGCTCCTCCATATCACTCTTTCCAATCATGGGTGCAAAAGGACAGCAATTGCACCAACTAAGAAACTAGTTTGGGCATCCCTATATAAATTATCTAAGCTTAAGGTATTGATTCAGAGAGGGGATACTTCATAAATGCACTAATCACCACTAAAGTGTTTATTAGTATGCCCTTACGCACATGCATTACAGAGTGTTTTCAAGTAATTTACTCCACAACAAATATTAATCTAAAGGAGAATAACAGAAGGAATAGTTTGAGTGCTTACCATGTGTTGGGAATCTTCTAAAAGTTTAACAAGAATTACTTTATTTAAGCGTCACCATCCCCTACTGTGCTAGATAAGTTTATTCCTATTTTACCTATGAGGAAAGTGAGGCTAAGAAATGAACAACTTTGCAAAGTTGCAAGGGTGGTGAATAACAGAATCAGGATTTAAATGCAGACAGCTTTAATTACATCTCTGCAAATGATTTCCTATTTTGCTAAACAAATGGTAATTTTATCACACTAAATCGTATATCAAAATAGCCTGAAATCTATAATTGCTATAGGAACACAAATTGCATGTATTGTTATTGTTGTTGTCACTAATTTTACTATTATGGACGTCATTTTATTGCCATAATATAGTGCCAATTAATAAATGGTGGCTATCAATACGTTCATTAATCTAACTTGTGCCCCAAATCTAAAAAGGCAGAAAATATCAAAATATAAAACAAATGAGAAAGAAAAAAAAAAGCTACTAGCTTGGCCCAAATACTTTAGGAATGCTCTATACTTTTATTATTCAAATGGACAGCTTGAAGTTATGACCTAATGATAGAAAAACACAATGGAAAATTTACCCCACTGCTAACATGGGCTTCATCAAATGACTGCCACATTAATTGCACTTGTTTGGAAATATGTATAAAAACAGTGAAAAAAAACAATTTATGTAAAATTATGTCAATAGTAAAATTAGTGATAATAACACTAACAACACAATTTGTATTCATACAACTGTTGTAGCTTTTTGGCTATTTTGATATATGATTTAGTGTGATAATATTACCATCTGTTAGGTAAAGTAGCATGAGTCAGTCATTTGTAGAGATGTGCTTAGAGGGCAGTCTCATATCTGCTAGCCAAATGCCCTTTCTACTGCTACTACCATTAGGTTAAACATATTTTCAAACAAAATTGTGGTCATATACAATGAGCAAACCAAAGCTAAATACGTAATTTTGATTATCTGATTCAGCTTACCAAAAGAATAACAGAAATTATTATTGTTAGCTGAGCATGGTGGCTCACTCCTGTAATCCCAACACTTTGGGAGGACGAGGCAGGTGGATCACTTGAGGTCAGGAGTTTGAGACCAGCCTGGCCAATATGGTGAAACCCTGTCTCTACTAAAAACACAAAAATTAGCTGGGCATAGTGGTGCACACCTGTAGTCCCAGCTATTCGGGGGGCTGAGGAAGGAGAATTGCTTGAACCTGGGAAGCAGAGGTTGCAGTGAGCCAAGATCGTGCCACTGCACTCCAGCCTGGGCATTGCAGCAAGACTCTGACTCAAAAAATATATATGTTATAGTTGTCATTTAAAATTTTAAACGCACATCTTATTTAACTTAACTTTCCATATTCATACCATTCAATACAGCAGAGTTATCATTGTTGTGGTGGGAACACATTACACCCCTTTCAACAATACAATCTATGGTTAACTCACTATAGTTAGCGTATTGTACAATTATTCTCTTAAATGTATTTGTCTTATCTTTTTTTTTTTTTTTTGAGACCGAATCTTGCTCTGTTACCAGGCTGGAGTGCAGTGGTGCAATCTCAGTTCACTGCAACCTCTGTCTCCTGGGTTCACGTGATTCCCCTGTCTCAGCCCCCTGAGTAGCTGGGACTACAGGCGCGTGCCATCACGCCTGGCTAATTTTTTGTATTTTAGTAGAGACAGGGTTTCACCATGGCCAGGATGATCTCGGTCTCCTGACCTGGTGATCTGCCTCGGGCTCCCAAAGTGCTGGGATTAAAGGCGTGAGCCACTGTGCCTGGCCTATTACACTTATCTAAGTGAAATTTTGTATTCTTCAACCAACATTGCCTCATCTCTCTGCCCCCAACACCACCTACTGTCATCAAACACTCCAGATCCTGGTACCAGCATTCTACTCTCTCCTTACAATGAGATCAACTTTTTTACATTCCACATATAAGTGAGATCATGCAATATTTGTCTTTCTGTGTGGCTTATTTCACTTAACATGATATCCTCTGGGTTCATCTATGTTGTCAAAAACAACAGGATTTCTTTCTTTTTGGTGGCTAGATAGTATCCCACCGCGTATGTATACCACAATTACTTTAACCCTTCATCCACTGAAGAGCACTTAGGTTGACTCCATCTATTGCCTATTGTGAATAGTGCTGCAAAGATACAGGAGTGCAGATACCACTTCTGTGTACTGATTTCCTTTGTTTTCAGTATATACTCAGCAGGGGGATTTCTGGATCATACGGTAGTTCTATTTTTAATTTTTCTGAGGAAACTCCATACTATTTTTCATAATGAATATACTAATTTACATGCCCACCAACAGTGTGCAAGGCTTCCCATTATTTTTGCTTTAAACAATTACCTTAACAGAGATTTTAAAATGAGAAAAAAGGGTATATTTAACTTGTGATTTTGGATTTTCTTCGTTGTGTCTATTATAATATCTTGTCACCTTGAAGGGCTTCCTTTAATATTTCTTGTACTGCAGGTATGCTGGCAATTAGTTCTTTCAGATTTTGTATATTTCAAAAAGGTTTCATTTTGCCTTTGTGTTTTAAAAATATTTTTCTACATATGGAATTTTAAGAGCTTTTTTTTCCTTTTTCCTTTTAAAATGTTGCTTTATTTTCTTCTGCCTTACATTTTTTTCTAATGAGACATTTTTATTTCCTGTTATTTAAAAAATTTTTTTTGCCTGTTTATGTAATATGTCCTTTTTCTATGGCTGCTTTTAATATTTTCTTTTTTTTTAACCAGGTTTTTAACAATTTTATTATGAGGCACCTGGTATGACTTCCTTCTTGTTTCTTCTGCTTGGGTGCTTTTGAGTATCTTGGCATTCTGAGTTTTAACAGTTTTCATCATATTTATAAAAATAATTGGCCATTCTTTATTTAAATATGCTGCCCCCGACTTTGTCTAGACTCCAGTTACTCACATGCTTTGTCACCTGTGCTGTACCACTGCTCACTGATATGCTTTCTGATCTTTTATTGATCTCTGCGTGTCATTTTGGGTAGTTTTTATTCCTATGTTTCCAAGTTCACCCATCTTTTTGTCTATAATGTGTTATGCTATTTATTCCGTTGAGTATACTTTCCATTTTAGACATCGTATTCATCTCTAGAAGTTTGTTTGGGGCTTATTTTACAAGTACCACTCCTTTCCTCATGGTGCTCATATTTTCTAACCATTTAGATCATATGGAACACATTTATATCTGTTTTAATGCCCTGACATGCTAAGTGTATCATTTGAATCACTTTGAGATCAGTTTCTGCTGATTGATTTGCTCAAATGTATGAGCCCTATCTTTCTAATATTTGATTAGTTGTTGAACATGATGAATGTATGATGATGAGTGGCTGGTTTTGTTGTTTTAAAAATATTTTTGAACTTTGTTCTGCAGTTAAGTCACATTTTAAGTGGCAATTGCTTTGTTCTTTTTAAGGTTTACTTTAAATTCTACTTTTTCTATAGACAGAATTTAATGTCATTACTGACTCACATATTCACATCGCTAATACTTTCTGTATATAGCTAAATTCCATTTCATTTTCCTGAGTTTTGCTTTTTTAATAAATTTTGTTTTATTTTCTAACTGTATTGGTGATATATAATAAACTTTGAATTTTATGTACTAATTTTGTCATATTATAAACAAACTTCTGGCTTATCATGCTTTCTGTGGTTTGGAATTTTTCCCCAGTTATTCCATTCTTTCATTTACAAATAATGGCCACTTTATTGTTTTCTAACATTGCCTCATCTTTTGTATTTCTTGCTAGATTTTACTGGTATGTGGCTGGGAACCTTGGGTTGTTACTAATGATAGTGGAAAAGCAATTCATGCTTCATAATTGAATATAGTGCAAACTGTTGATTTGTGCTGGGGGATGTGCTGGAAAACAGAGCTTCAGGACATGACCTCTGGAGCCATACAGCATTTCATCTGAGCTTAGTTACTACAACCCTGTGGCATCGCAGAATTATTTAAACACTCCGTGCCTCAATTTTCTCATCTGTAAAATGGAGACAATGACACTTCTAGAGTTTTCAAAAATCAATATTTGTAAAACACATAAACAATTCCTGGCACATAACAGGTGCAAAGAATAGCAAAATAAGTTTCCTATTATTATAGCTTTCTACTAAGTTTTTCTGAAAAAATAGTTCAATAGCTTCTGAACTTTAGCTATTTTAAATTTTAAAATGTTTTAAGTTTGTTATCTATGTTTTATATTTTTTAATTATCTTTTATTCTGATTAGTAGTGGGATTTGTTTTGTTAGGTTTTCAAAAAAAGTGATGAACTTGTTAAAACTCTTTTTCTACTGTCAATTAATTCCAGCTGTGTCCCTTCCCTTTTTATTATGTGTCACTTATGAATGTGTTTTGGTTTTTATAAAATAAGCAAAAAATCCATACACAAAAGAAAATATAGAAAAGTAGAAATTTCCTCTTCAGTTCTCCCTTTCAGTCTGCCTGGAAGTTTCATAGCCACAAATTTGGTTGGCATCACCCTCTTCTATTTTGATGCATGTGCATACATATTTATGTATTTATGCATCTACAGATGCATTTTACATTTTACATGAATATATATTATTCTACAACTTACAAGTTTACCATATGTCTTAGCAAGATATTTTGATATAAAAATATCTGCCTGTTTCTCTTCAACAGCTACCTAGTATATTCCATAGACAAGAGGCAGAGTCTGTTGTATAAGCACTTCCATATTCAGAGATGCAGTAAGTACCCATGAACTCGTTTCTGTGTACTCATGTGCAATTTATTTTTAAGGAAAACTCTGGGAGTGAGATTATTCTAATGGCAAGCTTGTTTCATAATGTGGTACCCAGAGTAATGAGTTTCCCAATGAGTTTCTGCCACTTACAGAACCACCATACTTTGTGAAGAGAGTACTAGTTCCTGCATCCTTTCTGTCATCAGGGCTCATTAATGATTTTAATTTTTGCCAATGGGATGGGCAATAAATGTTTTCTTCTTACTTAGTTATCATTTTCTGTAAACACCAGAGAGTCTAAGCATCTTTTTGTATAGCCATTTACATTTGGGTGTGGGCTTTTTCTGACCCCACTTTCAGTGGAGTGGGTTGCATGTATAAAGTCTGGTTTACAGCAATTGCTCACAGTTCACGGGGTTTTTGCTGAGTGGGTCAGCGAGCGCCTTCTTTTGCAAGGCTACCTTTGATCAGCAGCTGGATTGCTGACTTGGCGACAATCACACTTTTCAAATTTTAAGAGACAGACTGATTAACATCGCTTCTTTCCTGGTCCCTCCCTGAGTTCACTCACTGCCCATCTGAACTAGGGTTTTCTTCTCTAATTGGTGCCCATCACCTTTCACACATTGCATTTGATCCCTGACAAATATCCTTGACCAAACTCACCTCGGGGTCCTCTAAGCTCGTTTTCAACTGGACCTCATCTTTGGGTATGTTTTCAATAGCCCCATGTTAGCAGCAATTCTGTCAAATCCATTTAGCCAGAATCTGCCACCATCAAAATCTGATTCCTGTGAAAAGAAAATAAATCTTGGGACCCCAAAAATCACTAAGCCAAAGGGAAAGGTCAAGCTGGGAACTGAATCAGGCAAACCGGCCCCCATTTTATTCCTAAATAAAATTGTTGCAAAGATAAAAAAGCTACACATCTCCTTCACAGGCCACAGTGAAACTCCTTGTGGGCCTCACAATCTTTACCCAAAACAGTTCTGTTGAACGTCACTGTCAATGTAAATCTTTTGTTTTTTTGAAACAGAGTTTCTCTCTTTTTGCCTAGGCTGGAGTGCAATGGTGTGATCTCAGCTCACTGCAACCTCTGCCTCCTTGGTTCAAGTGATTCTCCTGCCTCAGCCTCCCAAGTAGCTGGGATTACAGGTATGTACTACTATACCCAGCTAATTTTTTATTTTTAGTAGAGACAGGATTTCACCATGTTGACCAGGCTGGTCTCAAACTCCTGACATCAAGTGCCCCACCCGCCTTGGCCTCCCAAAATGCTGGGATTACAGGCATAAGCCACCATGCCCAACTGTTAGCTTATCTCCACAGATATGATACAAAGGACGGAACTCAAAGTCATCCTTCTGCTCGCCTGAGACCAATGCGCATCTGATTGTTCCTCTGTCTTATTGTTTATGCAAAAATGCAGATTCACTGAGACAGACTAAGGCATAAGTGACTATTTCTCTAGCCCTTCACGTGTGATTCGGGGAAAGGTTGATCAAAGATTCAAAAGAATGAAAGTGTCTGTCATCTACCTATTCCCTGAAAGTTCCCCTTTGAGCTGTCCTGCCTTTCTGGACTGAAACAATGAAAACGTTACACATCATTTACTGATGTCTGTCTAAAATGACACATAACTGATTGATGGCTCATGTCTTTCCAAAATGTATAAAACCAAGCTGTATCCCAACCACTTTGGGAACAAGTTGTCAGAAACTCCTGAGGCTATGTCACAGGTACGTCCTTAATCTTGGCACAATAAACTTTGTAGATTGATTAAGACTTGTCTCGGAGTCTTTTGGGTTTACATCACTATCCACATCTGATCAAACTCCTCATGTTCATTACCCCCAGGTGATCTCTGGTTACCCTGGGCCTGCTCTCAGATAGATCCTGTTAGGCCAGTTTAGCAAAGCATTACCCTATCCTCTTAATAATTTTCCATTCACCCGTACCCCCACTTTGATCCTTGGCTGTAAGCCCCCAAGTTTTCCTTGTTGTATTCAGAGTTGAGTCCAATCTGTCTCTTGCACTGCAAAGCCCCACTGTTGCAGTCCCCAGAATAAAGTTTGTCTTTCAGTCCCTTAACAAGTGAGAAGAATAATTATTTTCTTAAACAGAGGGCAGCTCCCACTGCTGGGGTAGGGGTACCTTCAGGGACCCATTGGGGATTTTATTAACTCCAAACAGTTTATTTCTGTTTGTTTCAAAACATTA